GTTAATTGATCTTCACTTAAGATTTACCTCTATAATCTGGTTTTCAGTTCCCTGCTTTTAGCAGCATTTAACCCTTACTGGCCTCTGGCATCTAGCTCAAAACGGTCAATGGGCTGGATTTCACTCAGTGTTGAAGCAACAGCACTCACACACTTTGAATAAAACTGCCCGCAAAAATCTTGTGCCTTCGCACAATAAACTAACACATCAAAACTCCACAATTCCTTCACTTCTAATTTTAAAACTTGACGAACAACAAACGAATGGGCCACACACATGGGATTATGGCAGAAGCTAAACAATAAAAATAAAAGTTATTAATTCTTGATTTGAGTATGTGGAATTTCTTATAATGGGAGACATTTGATGTTCAACATAAAGCAAGTTACTCCTTCAGGTTCAGTGGCTCCTTGAAACAATAATTATGAAACTAGTAGGCTAACCTTACCTTATCCTCATACAATGATGTGCAATATTTTCAAGTGTATTTTACTTTACAGGCTGTTCCAGTTCTCATTGATTCTATGATTTCTAATGGATTGCAGTCTAGAGATCCTAAACAGGATCCTCTGGAGAAGTCAAGTACAGACAGAAATTTCTAGATTCCTACTTTCACTACTGCATGTCCAGACACCACAAATTGTTATCAGAGGCAAAGGATTGTGGACAGCAATACTGTCACTCCCACTGCAAAATCTAAACCAAAATTTTCAAGGGCCAAGATAAAGAACATTAGCTAGATACTTGTTTACAGTTCAGTTGCATCCTGTTCTAGCCTAATATTTAAAAGAAGTTTGCTCTTAGTTGTAGTTGCTGGATTGTTCTTTTCCAAACTCATCTGCAATTGCAAGAAGATTGAATATCACCTAATTTGTTTCCTCCTAAAATTGTAAAGACAGTGATCCTTCAATTGCAAGTTACTTCAATTTGTATTTTTAAAAAGTTCTTCACTTTCCAATGAGAAAACTCAATTTTTTCTGCCCCTCAATTTGTAAGATCATATGAAGTGTTAAAGGGAAGATAAGATTGCTTAGGGATGAATGGGTAAATCCAGATATGAAAGTTGAAAATATGCCACAAAGATATGGAATATTGTGGTTTTGTTTTTACAAAAGATTAAAAGATCTAAATGCTCAACTTGGGGCATTTGTGCAGTTAACTTTTACAACCTCACATTTCAACGCACCTCACACAGTAACTTTGAGATGTCGCTATCATCCTGTACATTACAAACAATAACCACATATCAAAAGCATTTTGTAGCTGTAAATTGCTTTGTGATACGCCAAGGTAGTGAACAACATAAATGAAGCAGAACAAAGCAGCCAATCGACTCACAACAAGCATCTACAAAACAAAAATGAAATAATGACCTAAAGATTGTTTTAGTGGTATTGATCAATGGATAGATATTGTGCAGGACTTAAGGAAAACATGCAGCTTTTCCAAAGTTTTATCATGATTTTACATTCGCCCATATATATTCTCAGTTTATTGTATATCCGAAAGGTAGCATCTGATAATGTAGCACTGCACTAAAGTGTCAAATTGTATTATGTGCCCAAATCTTGAATGAGGTTTGATATCACTGTCTGTGTGGAGTTTGCACATTCACTCCATACCTGCGTTGGTTTTGTCCAGGTGCCCCGGTTTCCTCCACAATCCAAAGATGTGCAAGTTAGGCGGATTGGCTATGCTAAATTGAACTGTAGTGTCCAGTGTAGGCTAAGTGTATTAGCCATGGGAAATGCAGGGTTATGGGGATGAGATGGGTCTGGATGTGATGTTCTACGGAGGGTCGGTGTGGACTCAATGAGCTGAATGAATCCCTGCAGTGTGGGATCAGGCCAATGTAAAAAATTAAGAGGTAAATGGGTAAACACATCTGGAATCTCTTGCCAAAAGGAAATAGTTTCTCTACATCTATCTTTAGAAAATCTTTGCATAATTTTTAACACTTCAATTATATCACCCTGAATCTTTTGAATTTAAAGGAATATAATACAGGTTTAAGTAGCCTTCCCTCAATTTAGAAGGAGAGGGCATGCTCGGAATGTAGTTGTACCTAGAATCTCTCTACTGGGGCAATCACACTTTAGGGAGCTGCAAAAGATGACCAAAACTGATGGAGGACCAACTTTATCTGAAATGACTAAACAGGGAACAAACCATGAACAGTTCATTGAAGCTGTCTGCCTCATTAATGGGCAAGTACAGAATAACAAACAAAAACAGAAATGAGTGGAAATACTCAGCAGGTCTCAGCATCTGTGAAGACAGACAGAAAACAGTTAGGCTTTATGACTTAGCCTTTGGACAGGGAAAGGATTGAAGAGAGAGAAATCAAAAATGAATACCTATAGTAGGCTCAAGCTAAGATAGGATAGATGATGGAGCAAGGCAAAAGGGCTAGCAATGGAACTAGGAAAGAATCAAAAGATGGATCTAAAGGACATGTGAATGACAATATTACAATTGTCTGCTTGCCCTGTGATACCAATTCATTTGCCATTTCATCTCTTCAAATCACAGCAGGACGGTTGTTCAAACTGCCAACAAACCTAACCATTTGTGGGATCAACATACAATGTGGTAAAACAGCTTTCAATTTTGCTGAACAGGGTACTTTGTGAAGCAGTCCAAAATGAATGAAAGTCATTCAATCATCCATGTCTTAACAGTCTGGGTTATGGTGGTTTAATGGTCACTGTTTAGAATAATAAATTGATTGAAGAGCTTAAATTGTTTATATGACCATGGTAACTGAATCAGGCAAAGCCAATACAGTTTCAAAATCAAACAACAGGAGAGAGAGTGAAACAGCAGTCAGGAATCCTACTTAAAGTGTGGCAGATAATGTAAAATTATAAGAATAGTATTGATTAAACCAGAAGACAGAACTAATAAACAGGTGAATAAAACATCAGTGGTGGGATTATAACTCACTCAGAGATAGCAAGAACTACCGATGCTGGAGACAGAGACAACACAGTGTGGAGCTGAAGGAACACAGCAGGCCAGGCAGCATCAGAGGAGCAGGAAAGTTGACATTTTGGGTCAGGACTTCTGAAGAAGGGTCCCGACCTGAAACAGCAACTTTCCTGCAACTCTGTGTTCCTGCAGCTCCACACTGTGCTATTAGTGATGGGGGCCAGGTTAGAGCGTATGGCCCAAATAAGAGTTCTATATATGAATGCATGGAGTGTGAGAAATAAATTAAAGTGAGCTGCAAGCACAAATTCAAATTGGAGATTATGACGTGGCAGCTATTACTGAGACATTGCTGCAGGATGGTCGGTACTGGGAACTAAATAGAAGATTTACAGGACAAACAGGGAAAAATAAAATCGCAGAATAGGTGGGAATAGCCTTATTGGTTAGAAACAAAAGTACTTCAATGGTGAGGGAGGATATAATGAGGGAAAAGTATTCGGTGGAGATTGTATGGATGAAACAGAGGAACAGTTAAGGATCTAAAACTGTAACAGGTGTTATGTACAGGCCCACTTATAGCACCTCTGAAGTGCTAGATTGTATAAATGCAGAAATTAGGCAGGTGTGTGGCAAAGCCAGAGGAGCTTTAATGAGGGTTTTAATTTTAAAAATAGACTGTGCTCTCCAACATCTTCCACCCAATCGTAGACCTTCCCTCTCCTCTCCAATTTCTCTTTTTCTGTAGAATCTGTGACATCCCTAATTTTTTCCAGTTCTATTCACAGACTAATCACCTGAAATGTTAATTCTATTTCAATTGCTGGTTCGGCCACATCTGGAGTATTGTGTCCAGTTCTGGTTGCCTCATTACAGGAAAGATGTGGAAGCGTTGGAAAAGGTGCAGAGGAGATTTACCGGGATGTTGCCTGGAATACAGAAAAGTTCTTACGAGGAAAGGTTGAGAGAGCTAGGGCTTTTCTCTTTAGAACGACGAAGGATGAGAGGTGACTTGATAGGGGTGTACAAAATGATCAGAGGTATAGATAGAGTAGACAGCCAGAGACTTTTTCCTAGGGTGGAGGTAGCTATTACAAGGGGGCATAGCTTTAAAGTGAGTGAAGGTAGATATAGGGGAGACATCAGAGGTAGGTTCTTTACTCAGAGTGGAATGTGTTGCTGGAATGGGTAGTGGAGTTGGTCTCATTAGGGGCATTTAAGCGGCTATTAGATAGGCATATGGATGATAGTACAAGGTAGGGGTGGAGGTTAAATAGACCTTAGGATTAGGGTAAAAGTTCGGCACAACATCGCGGGCCGAAGGGCCTGTACTGTGCTGTACTGTACTGTTCTATGTTCTATGATGCCTGACCTGCTATGCACTTACAGCATTTTCTGTCCTTACGCCAGATTTCTGGTATTCACAGTATTTTACGCAAATGCAGGATAAGTAATTCACAAATTGCCCAAAAGAGTTGACATGCATAACGATTAGGAGTTTTACTGCTTTTACAAAAGGAATTCAGCCAAATCAGTGGCACAGATCGGGGCAAATCACATCCTGGGCAAATCAAGATTCTGCAATATTTTGTGCTGATTTAAAGGAAACATTGCAGGAAGGCAGGCCACTCATAACCTGATCCCCTCATTCAATTAATCACTGTAACAAAAAGTCCACAGATTTTACATTCAGCAAAACATAAATGAGTCTGAGCTGAAACTAGAACAACCTTACACTTAGTACAATGTGCATTCGGATCACCATTTATACCTAAAGTAAAACATCTATCTGAAACAGCACAGGGGCCATCTTTACAATTGGCTCTGATGGAAATGACAATTGATTAGCACCTAATACCCACTGCCACTGCCCATGTCAAGCATGGGTACTGTAAGTAGTAGGGACTATCATTTTTAAGTTGCAAGACAAAGACGATCGCTGTAAAAAGCTTGTTTTAAAAAAAATGAACAAACTGTAATATAGTTGGGCAAAGACAATTCCAAGCCTGATGACAGTTTTAAACAAAAAAAAACTTAATTGCAAAGTGGAAGGAAGCTGTTTTACTCACTTTGGATGCCGAATGTCAGGTAGGCTCCGATTCAGAGAGATTTTATCACTCACGTAGATATTGAAACCATTTTCCCGATATGCTTGGCTAGTTCGATCTTCATCAGACAACGGCACAGCTTTCCCCTGCTCGCCAATTCCTAATAGAATAAAGCAGGTCAGTACCAAAGTATAAATTCACCCTCAACAGTTAATATTGGATATACCAAATTTACAATCAAATCATCATTCCATCATGATGGTTTTCTTGCAGGGTTTCATTATCATTTAAAGTATGTAGCGAGCAATCATTGGACAAAGTTTAATAAAGCCTATGACATTAAAGCAAACAGATCACATCACCATATCAATAGTTTCACTGTAGATTGCTTGAAATTAATGCTTTATCAAAGGCTTCATTTAAAAGTCAGTCAACAAATTAAGAAAGGCCTTCTATAAATAAAGGATCAGTACCACGTAACTTCAGTAGAGCTCTCATTCGGATTCCCCAGGCGATCTAATTTTACAAAATGCATATATTCTTGCAACAATATGCCATACACTATACATACCAATCTTCTTTAAAAAAAATAGCTGAAAATGATCAGAAAAACAACATTTTCAGCAATATATATTCAAGGATTTCGGAAACTTTGGGATCGGGGCTGTCAGCAAGAGAACCAGAGTCATGGAGCGGAGGGGGTGGTGTGGTGGTGGTGGTGGCAGCAGGTTCAAGACCCCAGACGCAGGTTGAGGCATAAGACTGTGTGGCGAGTCTGATTGGTCAAGAAGCTGCACATATAAAGGCTCCTCCAAGCCCCTTTTTGGGCAAGGAGTCCACACAGCTAAATATATTAGGTTTTACATACAGTGTGGGCCATTCCAGCCACGTGCAACAAACAGGGTGGGGGGGTGGAAAAGCAGGATGAAGCCATTAGTTGCATGTTTAAGGGCCTCAACAGGGCCAGGACAGGCTATACAAGGCCTCCTAGGTCTTATGAAAAATTTTAGACGAGTTAGCCAGGGGGCTGATGATGAGTTTACATGATGTGTCCTATAAACCCGCCAGCTGGGAAATGTAAACTCCAGCCCTTTTCTTTTGTCTGGAAAAAAAAAGAGAAATTTTCTCTGCTGCCCAGTCCTCCCATTATTTTCATCTACCTTTTCACGTGTAGGAAAGGCTTTGTGTGACATAAGCATTCCTGACGGTGTTAGGGTTGCCATTATGAGAAGGTGGAACAAAATCGTTTTTCCTGATGCATGCTATGTTCGAGTCCTGCAGTACATTTTGAGTGGAGAAACTTTCTTCTAGTGTTTTTCTCAATTTCTAGAACTGCAAAGCTTGCCTGTATGCCCAGGGGATCTCTGCCTAGAAGGGAGGGGCTACATGGAGCAGACCACACTGAGACTACTTTGATTGTTTTGCTGCAAGGAAAAATATACTGGCATCAGAGACAGTCCAGAGAAGGTTCGTTAGGTTGATACAGTATATGGAAGGTTTTTTTTTTAATATGGTCGAGTAGATTGGGCTAGTACTCATTGGAGTTTAGAAGAATGAGTCGTAACCCTATTGAACCATGCAAGATTCTCAGGGGACTCAACAGGGTAGATGCGCAGAGGTTGTTACCCTTGTGGAAGTGTCTTGGACATCAGCAACTGATGGATTTACTTTGAGTATGCAATTGATGGGCCCAGACTCAGAGGTATACATTGATCCTAACAACATAAAATTCAACAGTACCAAGAGTGCAAAAGCCTCAGATCACCAGCATCTTCGCAGTGCCATCCATTGGCAGATTTTTGAATGGAAAGACAGTATAAAATGAAGTGTACTGTTCTAAAGGGTATGGAGGAGCACAGAGACCTGGGTGTACATGTACTTTTATGTTGGCAGATAAGTAGAGAGAGCTCATGATAAAGCTTAATGGATTCAAGGCTTCTTAATGTAGTGACATAAGGTACAAGTTATGATGAAATTATGGTTAGATCTCAGCCACAACGTTCTGGGCACCACACTATCAGAAAATGTGAATGCATGTGAGAAAGGGCGCAGAAGAGGTTTACAGGAATGGTTCCATGGATGGGACACTTCAGTTATGAGGAAAGATTGGAGGAGTTGGGACTGTTTCCCTTGGAGAGGCTAAGGCTCGGAGGAGACTTGATAGAACTTTTCAAAACCATAACTAATGGATAGGAAGCAACTATTCCCATTACTGAACAGATTGGGAACCAGAAGACATAGGTTTGAAGTGTTTTGAAAAAGAAGCAAATACAAGGTGAAAAAACCTAACGCACTGCTTGTAAGTGTGGTGGAGAGAGGTTCAACTGAGGCAATGAAGAAGGCATTGTATCGTTATTTGAGAAAGGGTTCCAGAGAAAAGGCAGGAGATTGACACCAAGTTAAAATGTTCAGACATCTGGTGTAGACATGAGGGGCCAAATGGCCCTCCGTGTACCGTAAAGATTCTGAGATTCATCACCGTTTACTGCCCTTTCATTTACCACAGGATAGGAAGAATCTACTTCCATCTCAATCTCTTCTGACCCGAACCCAAACTCCAGTTGCAAACTGCACTTGAACCTGCCCCTTGCTGTGAAAGAGCTATAACAGGATTCACAGCTGCAAGAGGGCCCAACTCACATTTTCACAGCTCCTACATGAAAACTCAGGCCATTCATCATGACTCCTGGCCCATGTTTCAAGTTGTCTTTTGCTTCATTTTAAAAAAAAAATCATTGCCCATATCTTTACTCTGATTTTAGCTCTAAAAACACTCATTAATTCCAGTCAACTTTCTTTCTACACTTCATTTCTCCTTAACTCTTTTCATTTTTGGCGTATTCTTTAATCCCAAATTGTGTCATTTTCTTTTATCTAACTCATGAGCTATTTCTAATTTCCCCCTTTTCTGTTAATTGATACTCAGCTCTCATAATAGTTGTCGGCAATGCCATGACAGGTTAACAAGTAAAATAAAAGGAAACTTGGCATAGATGCACATTTATTATTAAAACTATTTAAATAAAGGTTAGTTTTACAAGTAGATCTATTAAAGCAAGTCAGTCACACATAACCATGCTTTCTTGGAAAGAACAGTTAGAGGAACTCCATTCATAAACACACACCTGATTTTGCTGCATCTGCTTGGATTGCCTGGTGGTCATGCCAATCTTTCTTCCTCAATCCATCATCAATGAAGAAAGTGTCTTGTCTTGGCTGGATTGGTAAACCCTATTTTTAAAATAAATTTTGCATCAAAACAATGGTATACTGCTAAGGGTACCTGTGGTATGTTTAACTACTTCCTTTATTAAAGATTTATGGTTGAAAAATAGACAGGAAACCCAATAATAAATCCAGCTATTCCTATATCAGGCACAAATGCATATTTTAGCATCCTGCAGAGTGCAAGTCTATTGATTCCTCTTTTTGCCAAGATTTGATTATTTATTACGTTTTGCTGTGTTTTTAAAAAGTGCAATCAGCTAACTGTGCAGAAAGAGTTAAAACTCAGTTTTGATTTGTTTTGCTTTATGAGAAAGATATCTTATTGGACAATTTTAGCAAGAAGTAAAACTAGCAATTTAAGTAAGGTGTTGCCTGAAAAGCAACACTTTAAATTTCTCAGTTAGAGTGACAATCTAATGTTCTAGTTTCATGGCATGCAATCATTCTAATTAATAAAATGATTTTAATATTACTGCTAAAATTAGGAAAAGATATGCTACATTAGCTCTTTCCCATTAAACCAACAGGAAATAGAAAATTTTGGGAACTATAGAACAATCAAGTGCTTTTATAATTTCATAATAGTTCCAGTACCAAGGAGTCTTGATGACAGGAAAAAAAAAAAGTCAATTTCTTGGTTGCTCTTAAGATTTATCTCAGGAAGGAAACCAATACAAAAATCCCTTCAGGATTCAAAATAACGAAGAACAGATTGTTAAAGTGAGAATCGCAGACTGCAGTCCAATGCTGAAAGTAATTTCAACCTGTAATAAATTCTATATAAATACCATCATTACGATCATGAAGAAGTGTGGATGTACCCCATTAGAGTCCAAACATACAGATTAAAATGGTTTAATTTAAACACATAGGAAAAATACAGGTTGTACCTTCCTAATCTGGCACATTCTCTCCAGCACCCACAGTACTTCCAGGCTTCCCAATGGTGGCAGCCAGCAGCTCTGCATCAATTTTTATTTACATTAATTATTGTTATACTTTGTGCAGTTTGGATACTCTAAACCCTATTTTTGGCGTCCAATTGTAAAATCATTCATCCATTAAAGCATATGAGCAATATCACTTAAGGTGAAGTCTTTACTTTTAAAGTGTTTGTGCATTGCCAGACCACAGGAGGTCAAAGAACTAATTAAACTTTATCAGAATTGAACAATCTGTCGTTCCATATGGTAAATCCAGGTACTATCTTCGTAAGGCCATCAGAGACACCAAGAGGCAATACCAAACTAAGCTGGAGACCCAGACTAACCACATGGACACCCGTTGTTTTTGGCAAGGCTTACATACAAAATGAAGTTGAGCAGAATCATGGGCAATAGTACATCCCTACCTAAAGAGTTCCATGCATTCTAACCTCCTTTTGAACAGAAGGTCAACAAAACAATGTCATCTATCCCATCAGCTTCAGATGCACCTGTATCCACAGTTACTGCCACAGACATTAGACCAGTCTTCTTGAGGGTGAACTCAAGAAAAGCAATTGGCCCAGATGGAGTCTCTGGGCTGTGCACTCAGATCCTCTACAAACCAGCTGGCGGGAGTATTCGCAGACATCTTTGACGTCTCCTTACTATGACCTGAAGTCCCCACCTGCTTCAAGAAGACCATCATCATCCCAATGCCAAAGAAAAATCATGCAACATACCTCAACAACCACCACCCAGAGGCTCTGACTTGCCTAATTATGGAGTGCTTTGACAGGTTAGTCCTAGCTCACATCACCTCCAGCCTCCCAAATTGCCTCAATCCTTTGCAATTCATCCACTGGTACAACAGGTCCACAGCAGACGCCAACTCCCTGGCCCTACACTCATCCCTGGAGCATGTGGCTAACAATGATACCGGTGGTCAGCCTCCTTCGTATTGATTACAGTTCCACCTTCAACACCATAATTCCTAACAAACTCACTGCTGAAGTCCAAAACCTAGGTCTTGGCTTAGCCCTCTGTAACTGGATCCTCACTTTCCTGACCCATAGACTGCAATCAGTAAGAACAGGCGACAACCCTCGTCCACCATAATCCTCAATACCAGTGCCCTGTAAGGCTGCATATTCAGTCCCCAACTGTACTCCTTATACACTTATGGCTGTGTGGCCAAATTCTGCCCCAACTCCATTTACAAATTTGCCAATGACACCACCATTGTAGGGAAGATCTCAAACAATGAAAAGACAGAATACAGAAAAGAGATCGAGTGCTTAGTGGCATGGTGTAAAAACAACAATCTCTCCATCAACATCAGCAAAAGGAGCTGGTCATTGACTTCAAGGAGCTGAGTAGAGGGCACGCCCGTCTGCAATGGTGCTGAGGTGGATGGTTGAGAGCATCAAGTTCCTGGGAGTCATGGTCACTAACAATCTCTCCTGGTCCACCCATGTTGACGCAATGGTCAGGAAAGCACAACAATGTCTCTACTTCCTCAGGTGGCTAAGGAAATTTGGCATGTCACAAGGATTCTTACCAATTTTTACAGATGCACCATAGAAAGCATTATATCTGGATGCATCAAAGCGTTGGTTGGCAACTGCTCTTCCCAAGACCGTAAGAATCTACGGAGAGTCGTGAACATAGCGCAGTCCATCATGCAAACCAGCCTCCCATCCTTTGATTTCATCTATACTTCTCACTACCTCAGGAAAGCAACCAACAAGATCAAAGAGCCCTCCCACCCCATTATACTCTCTTCCATCGGACAGATGATACAAGTTTGTATACACGTACGAATAGATTCGAGACAGCTTCTTCTCCACTTTTAATGGGCTTCTGAATGGACCTCTCAAATTTTAAACTTAATGTTGATCTTGCTCTCTGTGCACCTCCTCTGCAGCTATAACATTAGAGTAATAGAACAGAGCGAAGAATATAATGTACTTTATCTGGTATGATCTGCTGGTACTGCATGCAAAACAAAATTTTTCACTGCACTTAGGTACATGTGACAATAATAAAATCAAATCAAAGAAAGAAATCCCAGTGGAAACCAACCCAGGTACACATGATTGTGTGAATTTAAACTAATAAAGCCATCATATGCCCACAAGGACGAGGGAAAGTAGTAATAGCTCTCATTCACAAAAATGTTCCCAACACCCACAACATTGCATTATGTAACTACTTCTTGAAATATACTTGGATCAAATTTAATTTAATTATACCATTTGGAACCAAAGAGATAAATTATATTTGTCTTGGCCATTTCCTGATATGTGGACTCCCTAAATGAACTTTCTTTTCCCCACTGGAGCATAGGAAGTTGTGGGGTGATCTTGTAGAGGTTTGTAAAATCATGGGGGGCATAGACAAGGTGAATAGCAAAAGGTCTTTTCCCCAGAGTTCAAAACTAGGGGGCATATTTTTAAGGCGAGAGGACAAAGGTTTTAAAGGGATCCGAGGGGCAACATTTTACACACAGAGGGTGGTTCGTATGCAGAATAAACTGCCAGATGCAGGTACAGTTACAGCGTTTAAAAGATATTTGAACAGGTACATGAATAGGAAAAGTTTGGAGGGATATGGGCCAATGCAGGCAAGTGGGACTAGTTTAATTTGGGAAGCTTGGTTGGCATGGACAAGTTAGACCGAAGGGTCTGCTTCTGTGCTGTATAAGAATGACTCCATCATAGCCCTAGTTTTGCAAGTAAGCTTCGCAGCTGATTTATACACAGCAAGATGTCGCAATGAGATGAAGAATCAATTAATCTTTGTCAACGCTCTTGATTAAAGGTTGTATACTGTCCAGGACATGTGAAGAATTCCCTATTTTTCAATCAAAAAGTGGAATGGAATCCTTTGCATGCAAGAGCTGGCCAACTGCCACCAAGAAAAATTCTGATCGTTTTGGGATTTTTTGGTTCTATGGTTCACCAGGAATTCTGGTAGGCCTTTCCTCCCAGCTGCACACAGAAAAACAAACAGATACAGGATTTTAAGGTCACTAACAGAAATTTAGACTGAGCAGAACCATAAAAATGCTTTAATTAACTCAAGCAAGAACAAATACTGATACAATGAAAAAAGTGACATGTTCATTATTTTTGTTATATATTTTGATTTAATCTAGTGAATTTAATCATAACTTTCATCCTGTGTGATGATTCAATTGAAACAGCTCAACAATTTGTACATGGATGTGTCTTACCAGGTACTTTTTTTGTTTTCTACGTTCAAGAAATTCAATAAAGCACAAATGCAATGTCATGAATGTACAAATAGCTTGCAATCTGGTTCTCCTTTAATGCACCATCATATAATTAGTCACTGTGTAACGCATACTCAAATGTACTCAGGCTACTGAGTGTACCCGAGGGAACTTCCGGGTCTAATTTCTAACTCTTAAGTTTGAAGATTACCAAGAATCAACCTTGAATGTGTAATAATGTTCCAACTTACATAACAGAAGTTTCTGTAAAAAAAAAAACACACAAGTTTCTGATTTGTAGACCTGGAACCACTGTTAGACTGTAGGAAGTTATTTATTGATATCCTCACAGACTGCTGGTAATGCATATTGTCTTTGTCAGCCCAATGAGAGCTAACCACAGGATAGTGGAAAGTATTGGCTCCTTTGTGTGTGCCTGAAACTAACCTCCATGGGAGTGATTTAAAATAAGTCCAGCAGTATATCACACAACTGTAATTCTCAAAATGCACAAGATCCAAAAATAAATGATAGTACCAAACAGTAAATAAATGGTGTTCAGGTGCAGTGGGGGAAAATGTTTCTTTTTTAATTCAATTTATTCTGAGGGAAATAGTTACAAAGCTTATCCAGCGTCCTTTATTTTGCTTTAATCAATTCAGAATGATTTACTGCATTTTCAGGATGAGAAAGGGAAATATTCACATCTCTCCAATAGGATGGTCTTAAAACTGAGATTACTGTTTTAATTCAAACAGATTTCAGCTATATCATTTTTTTCTCTATTTACAACAGCTGGTGAGTTAAATCATAAGTTCAGAGACTTCATTTACTATTGCTCA